GCGGGCGGGGCGCGCGACGCGGAGCGCGAGGCCCGGAGGCGTAGCCGCGACATCGACGCGCTGCTCGCCCGGGAACGGCGCGCCGTGCGGCGCCTGGTCAAGATCCTGCTGCTGGGAGCTGGCGAGAGCGGCAAGTCCACCTTTCTCAAGCAGATGCGCATCATCCACGGCCGCGAGTTCGACCAGAAGGCGCTGCTCGAGTTCCGCGACACCATCTTCGACAACATCCTCAAGGTGACGCGGGGGTCCCCGTGCGCCCGCCCCGCCTCACACACCTGTGCCCAGGTGGGCACAGGTACGACCCTCGGCCAGCCGGGCTTGCCAGCCCCTTTGTCCCTGGTCCGCAGCGTTGGTCTGGTTTCCTCCATTGTCCGCTCCCAGCGGTCAACGAAGGCCCCTAGCGTGGTCAGTGAGGGGTAACTTTCGGGGAGTGGGCCAGGGATGCTCACCTCCTGCCGGTCTTGTACACCCCGTTCCCCCGGTCTTGATGGCTTTGCCTCTGCCCTTCCTCGGGTGCTTGGGGACGGTGGAAGTGGGAAACTAGCTCACTTTTGGGGATTTGGTGGCAGAGCGGGGCCTTAATGCTGGTGAAAGTCCCTCTTGGACCCGCCCCGGAAGGGTGGCATGTTGTCCACTATGCAGCTTCGTGGGGTGAGGGATCCCAATTTACTCTGCCCTCCCGCAAACTCAGAACAGCAGTGTAGACTGGAGTGGGAACCAGCCACAAGTGTCTCACTTTAAACTTTATAGTGGAAAAATTTCGAGCATATGCAAACGTGGAGAAAAATAATAGTATGATCTGTAATGTACTCATCATCATCCAGGACGATCAGTTCTGGGCCACTCGTGTTCATCTATACCGCCTGTCCCCATGATCATGAAGCAAACCCCAGACATTGTATAGTTGCACTAGAAAACACTTGTGTATGTATCTCTAAAAGATAAGGCCTCATTTCAGAAACATTGTTTTTTTAAAAGGGTAATAACTCCTTAATTTCATCAAATATCCAGTTAACATTCAGATTTCTTCCATTATTGCATAATTTGTTAGAATTTGGATACAAATAAAATCCTTACCTTTGGACTAACCAGACTCTCCTACCTCTTGCTCCCCTTTTTGTTCTTTGCCATATTTGTGAAAGAAACAGACTCAATAAAGTCTGAATTTCAGTCTCTCACTACTGTGAGCCCATACTAAAGGGCCACAGAGAAAGGAAATGTGGAGAAAACTGATGATGAGGAGAAAAGGAGAGAGTCTCTCCTATACCTAGCGAGGATCATTTCCTTTTTTTCTTTTTGAAAGTTTCTTCTCCCTACCCTATCCTTGCTCCCTCGCCATTTCTTCCCTAGTCTCTTTTTAGGGAAACTAAGTTACGGGTATGAGGAAAGTGGAGAGAAGTTTATTATACCAGGAAACCTGCCTGGAGACTTGGTTTTATGGTGCCTGAGGATTTTAAATTTAGCAATGGGCTGTACAAATCCATCTGGTGCATTTCTTTCACTTAAACCAAAGGGAAGCTCCAGCAGAGCAGCGATGAAGTGAGTCCTTAGTGGAACCTCCATGCTGGAACCCTGGTTTCAGACTCACAGGCCAGTATTCTCGTTTTACATATTTGTTGTTAAAATATTTCATTTTAATAGACATGGTTATTTCAGGACTGTCACAAGAAAATAATGCAAATGATAAAGCATACTTTTTCTTTTTACTTCTTTCAAAATCCTCTCAGTGAGTCAGAGCTCTGGCCAAATATTTCATGAGCTTTAAAGACTAGGTGCCCAGTATAACTAACTCACTGGCTATTGAGAGTGTGTTTAAAAATTCCCCTCATCTTCTGGGGTAAAGTGCATTTAATTGTCTCTCAGGGCCTGTTCTCTAACTCCTCTGTCAGAGAGCCTGGTTTTATTTTTGCTGTTTTCCTGGACTTAAGAACCAGGCAGGCACAGAAGTGGAGAGATTTGGCTACCTCCCAGTTTTCTTTCAACTCTGGAGGCAGAGAAAATATTTAGAAACATAGAATCTTAAATCTTAATCAGCATATTATGTGCATTTTTAAAAACTCAGTCATAACCTTTTCCTGATACATATAAACATTTAAGTTTTACTGACTTTTTTTATTAACAGAAACAAGATTTGTTCATTAGTATTCTATTTTTCTTCCCAACTTTTTTATTGATTGTACTTCCACATTAAACCACTTTATTTGTTGTGGCTATTTCAATAGCTAGCTAAAAATCCATCTTTCAAATTAAAACTAAAATCCTTCCCTGCCTTCCACCTCATCCTCCGTTTTTATTTGGACAGATCACGTGGTGAAGAGACTTTTTAAATAAATTGCTTTGTGTAACGGCATTGATAGTAGACATTTGAATGATTACGTTCATGATAGAATTTGTGTCTACACAGAGATTTAGTGTTAATTGGCTAATTTTTAAAGCACTAAGTGTGCTGTACCTATTGTGCTGGGTCCTTTTATAGATGGCATTTAATTTGCATAATGTTCCAGATGATATCGCCCCACTTAACCATTGAGAAGATTGAGGGTAGAGAGTTTAAAATGTGCTCTAGGTCAGCTACCTAATTAGCTAGTGGCAGAGCTCGAAACCAAACCTGTTGTTTTATTTTTAATTAAACTTTTAATTTTGAGATAGTATAGACTGCTATGTAGATCCAAGAAATAATACAGCAGTCCCATGTACCCTCTACCCACTTTCCCTTCATGGTATTAGCATGAAGGGAATCATGGAACATGCAGTCAAGACAGTATTCCATCACTGTAAGGATCCCTCATGCTGCCTTTTTAGAGCCACTCTTCTCTTCTCTGACCCTCATAATGGCTAATCTATTCTCTAATTCTGTAATTTTGTCATTTTAAGAATATTATTTAAGTGGAATCTTATAGAATGTGACCTGTTGGAATTGGCTTGCGTCACTTAGCATAATTCCCCAGATAGTCACCCAAATGGTTGTGTGTTGATAGTCCTTGCCTTTTTATTGCGGAATGGGGTTTACCTAGTATACCATAGTATTCACTAATTGAAAGACATCTCGGTTGTTTCCAGGTTCTCTTTGTGCATACATCTTCTCCGAACACTTATACTCATGTTTTCATATGTGCATAAATGTTTGTGTATCTGGGATAAATGGCCTAGAGTACAATTGCTGAGCCATAATTGTTGCATGTTTAGTTTTTTAAGAAACTGCTAGAGCCCAGGGCCAGCAAGCGGTATGGTGATTAAGGACACTGGACTCCCACATGGCTGATGGCAGTTCAAGTCTCAGACCTGGCAGCTTGCTTTCACACACTCTCTTTCTCTGTCCCTTTCTCATCAAAGTAAATAAATACATAAACAGATAGATAGATAGATAAAGTTAAATAAAATAATTCTTAAAGAAGAACGGAAGGAAGGAAGGAAGAAACTGCTAGAGCCAGCCCCATAGGCTGGTGGTTAAGGAAGCTGGATCCCACATGGCTGACCATGTGGTTGGAAAAACACAACAGGTCTGTGTGTGTGTGTGTGCGCGTGCGCACGCGTGTGCCCCAAATCTCAACAGGATGGAGAAATGGAGGAGAAGAGATAGCAGTATGACCGCATTGCATTGGGAAGTTCTCTGTGTGTGTGTGTGTGTGTGTGTGTGTTCAAAATACAACTGCCCTCTGGCAATTTAAAAAAAAAAAAAGGAAAGAAAAGAAATTGTTGAATTGTTCCCAAAGTAGCTTTGTCATTTTATATTTCTACCAGCAATGTATAAGAGATATAGTTTCTCTGCATCCTTGTCAACATTCTTCTGGTCACTATTCTTTTTCCCAGTGATTCTAAGTGCGTAATGATATTGTGGTTTTAATTTGCACTTCCCTAATGGCTGATGAATTGAACATCTTTTCAGGTACCTATTTGTCATCTGTAAATGCCTTTTCATGTTTGTTACCCATTTTCTAATCAGGTTTTTTGATTGGTGAGTTTTGAGAGTTTGTCATGTATTCCAAATATTTAGTCATTTGTCAAATATGTAGTTTGTAAATATTTCCACCCAATCTGTAGTATGTCTTTTCATCCTCTTAATTGGGTCTTTCACAAACCAAAAGTTTCTAATTTTAATGAAATCCACTTTATCATGCTGTTTCTAGTTGTTCTATCATGTTGTTTCAAGTCTCAGAACTGCTTGCTTGGCTCTAGACCCCAAAGATTTTCTCTTATGTTTTTCCTAAAGTTTTACAGTTTTACATTCTATATTTAAGTCTATAATCTATTTTGAGTTATTTTTGTGTAAGAATTGAGGTTTAGGTCAAAGTTTATCTTTCTGCCCATGGATGTCCAGTTGCATGAGTACCATTTGTAAAACAAATCATTGAATTGCTTTAGTAACTTTATCAAAAATCAATTGAGGGGGCTGGCAGGTGGCGTGGTAGTCAAGGGCGCTGGACTCCCACATGGCCAACTGTGGTTCCAGTCCCGGACCTGGTGGCTTGCTTTCCCCCCTCCTTTCTCTGTCCCTCACTGGTCAAATTAAAATAAAGAAATAAAGTTAAATGAAATAATTCCCTCCTTTAATAAAAATCAATTGAGTCTATTTGTACAGGTCTGTTTCTGGTTTCCCTGTTCTGTTCATCTAGATTTCGATCCTGCCAATATCTTACAGTGCTGATTAGTATAGCTAAATAATATATACACCTGCTTTAATATCAGTTAGAATGATTTCTCCCATTTTCTTTTTCTTTTTCAAGATTGTTTTAGCTATTCTAGAGCCCGTACCCTTTTCCATTTTAGTATAAGCTTGTCTGTGTCTATAAAAACACTTGATGGATATTTTTCTTTTTTTTTTTTAGGTTTTTGCCATAGAGCATGTACACTTGCTAGAGAGAGGCAGAGACAGAGAGAGAGAGAGAGAAAGTGAGAAATCATCCTCCCAGGTGGGATGACCACACCACAATCCCTCCTCCATTCTCCTTTCAGGATTTTGAACATACACCCATGCACACACACCTGGCATTATTTTCAAGCTACCAGGTCCTGGACCTGAAACGTGGTCAGCCACGTGAAAGTCCAGCACCTTAACCACCACACCACCTGCTAGCCTCGCCTTTTTTTTTAATGTTAACATTTTACATGCTAGGAGCCAGCAGGTGACATGGTGGTTAAGGGGCTAGACTCCACACGGCCAACAAAGTTCCAGTCATGGACCTGGAAGCTTGCTTTCTCACTTCCCTTCTCTTTCTCTCCTTTATTTCTCCTTG